ATCTCTTACATTTTGCATCACCAGTAAACACAACCTTGAGGTACGGGAAATTCTCTATATGCTCCACTGCTTCTCCACTTCTTCTATGAAGGAAGCAATAGACTTTCGGTTTTAGACACGTTCACACGCATACCCGCCACGTCGCATTCGGCTGCGAAATTTCCCAGTGAACGCTGGAGCTCAGTTTCAGAAGATGCCAACAAAACATGGTAGTCTGTAAACAGCAACGGTATCGTCTCCACATCTCGTACGGAAGTACCTTGGTTGACTATTCTATCCATGTGCAACGCAATCAAAAAAGGAGCGAATGCAGCCTTGGGCCGGAGACTAGTTCCAACGCTAAAAGGTCTCGACTTAACGTCATTTACTCCGACGCGGCACTCGTTATCAACACTTAATGAATGGACGGATAGCAACTGGTCATTCATCCCACATGTTTGCAGGAACGACACTAGCTTGCTACGCGGGATTCAGTCATAAGTTTTCTTCAGGTCAACAAAGCACATGTAAATCGAATAAGTGAACTGCCACGATTTATTAACAATATTGCGATTAAGGCGAAGGTCTGGTCAAACGTGATTCAGCCTGACCTCATGCAACAATGATACTCTTAGATCTTGGAGTTGGTCATTTCACTGCATCTCCTTTCCAACATCTTTGCGTAGACTTTTCCCGGCAGGATCAATAGAGTATTGCCCCAATAATTGGGAAAAACCTCAACAGTCTCCCTTCTTGAACAGGGTTACTATAATATTCATTCTTCAGTTAACTGCTGTCTTCCAGGTCTGCAATTTAACAGATAAATGTTGGCCATAGTCCGCCTTTTTCGAATAAAGCTTTCAGCAATTCAGAACGAGTGGATTCCAGCAGCTTCGACACATTTCAAACTTTTTACAGCACCTGGGACACCATCTAATAGATGACTAATACCCGCTATCTCACGTTGTTCAGGTGAGTCTTCCCGCAGTTGCTGGGGATTAATTGCTCAAAGTACTGTCCTGTGCCTTGGTAAGGTGCCGAGGCTTGTCCTTTGGGACGTTCATACCGTCTTTCCTCCGTCTCAGACACAGAATAGTAAGCCAGAAAAGTTTGTTTGGGGTGAGGAAATTCGACTCGAGCATATGTATAAATCATGAATCGAATAGCTGTCGATGTCTTGCTTTAATACGCTGCTTTCCTCCTCTGCCCTGACTTCACCTATTTTGCTAAGTTAACAAATTCTTATTTCAAAAGACCAGCGCTCGCCGAAGAACAGCCACTTTTGGGTAGCAGAAGAAAGGAGAGCTAAAGGTTTACTACAACTTCAGCATGAAGTTCCCTGAAAGCAATGAAAATATGAAATTATCTTTTCTACCATATATGGCGATTAGAATGATCAGGCACGTTCTCCTTTCTGACAGTATACTGTTTATTATAAATATTAAACTACCGAGTACACGTAAATCGGTACAATTAACATGCATTATGATTATAAAAACATATTTGAATTTCGTCTTCTTCAACATAAGCTTTAGTACTTCTATGCCTACAGCCAACCTTGCAACCAAAAGTTCCGTTTGTACTGAGGATAAGCAACACTCTTTGGCCAAAATGATTAAACTGAAATCAAGAAATTAATATCAGCGTTTTGTATTGCGTCTACAGCTTTCTAAAGACCATTAACCGTATTTAATATGTATCATTGTGCATATGTTGCAAAATACGCGGCAAACAGTCATAACAGATTATACTATGATTTCTATTCGTATGATGGAATCACTTCTGAAAATCCATGAACAAATGACATTAGAAAACGATTTTGGACATAATAAATGATCAAACGACTTCTTTCAAACTTATTTTTACCCCGACATATTACAAATCGTACATCGGTATTTGAGTCACGATGAGGGGAAACGAAAAGTCTGAAATTTCATTCTCTGAAATGGTGAACTGCGCTTGGGAATGTTTTCTTTATCCATGAAACAAACTGTCGCGAACAAATGGTCAGTTAACTCAGCAGTAGTAAAAAAAACAATGAAGCATGAATTCATGCGTTTAAGGCTAATGCGCCTGAGGCTATTTCCAACTGAAGTCAACATCGCATTAATTCAGATGTCAGAGTAATTCAAAACATCGATACTAACAGGCAAATATCAATGCATACTTCAGGATACCATACTGCTCGTATGTAGTGGAGCAGTTTCATAAGATCAGTTTCTCCGTACCGCTTCCGGAAAAGATTTCTGAGGAAAGTAGAAACTTCTGTGATCTAAAACGAAGCAAGCAATAGAAATTAAACATTAAGCAAGATTCCCTAAAGGTTATGACGGTAAATTTAAATGAGCAAACGAAAATATTTCGATGAATGAACTTCAGAAACTGTTATAAGAACTGGAATCACAACGAGGATCATAGAGAAATCACAAAACAGTTACTACCTTAAAAACGTTATCATTTATATTCAACGCCAGTTTGCACTATTCCAGCAAACAAGGTAACACCGTTGTGCTACCGCCCCATTGCTTATACATGAGCATTTAAGCAGGTGACGGTTAAAAGCACGCATAGCACAAAGCATTTTAAAAACGTGTGAATACTAGAAATGACAACTCTTTATAAAACTGGCAAATGCATCAGCCGAGTCTGCAGTACTCCAACAATAACGCAGCGAAGGTGATATTAATTGAATACAACACAGAAATGTGACATCACCAAAATTTTTTAAGAATTCATCTCACCTGCCTTAAACCTGGTGATGCAACTCCCACCATATAAACGAAAAGACACAATGATACAGATGGTAATGATCGCGAAGTGGTTCTATCAAATTAAACAAAACAATGCTACATGCATTATATGCAACGAAACAATGCAGTATGCTCAAGGCTCAATTACCATTGAGCCATGTCAGAATAAAAGCCCCCTAAGAACAGAACAGCAAATGAAAGGTTCGATATATCATGAAATCGAAGTATTAACAAAAGTAAGTATTAACAAAAGCAAAGATTTTGGAGGGCAAAAATGATTAATAACTTCAAAGATTGACCTATGCGTTAAACGTCGCTTCGGCGCACCTTAAATTTTACTCACTAAGGCAACGACTTAGCGCAAAAATAATACCTGTTTTTCGCTATTCAACGGACCAATATCAGATTCGAAAATCGACAAACCACTAGAATGCTGGCGAACGTTCAACCAGTTGGTCTGCCTTTCGCACTTGATTTTACGATCGTGTACGTCAAACAGATATTTCTAAACGACATATCTACAAAACAAAGGCAAATCTGATACATATCAAAAAGCGAAATTCCCACGTTCAGGGGAAATTCTGAATACCAATCAACATTGATTTTGCGTTCATTTCAAACTGCTGCACAAAGTGTAATAATCAATTCGTAGATCAATAGCAATTATGAAATTTCAATTAATTTCCCTCTAAAAGATAACCGCGCTCCGAATTTTGCAAATCAATAAATTAATTAATGGACTGAAATCAGCCAATGTAAGTTATGCTATTTTATATTTAAGAACATCCTTTCATAATAGTAAGAATGAAGCACAATGAAAATAATTAAAATGGGAAAATTAATTAGACCATCTCGGCAGAGCGGCTGCAATAACTGCATAACGGGAGCAGCGAGCAAAATTGCGCTGTCAGAAACATGGCTCAAGGAAGTCGACGCAGATTATATAAATGGCTATACGATAAAGAAAGACACAGTTAGAAGCCTGGAAAAAATATACTGATTAAGTAAAGGTTTCAGACCGTATAACGGTGTTATTTCGTCAGTACAAATTAATAATGTAAAACGAAGACGTAGCAGTCACAGATAACATAGATCAACAGGTAAATAACTATAGCATTGTGAAGGAACAGTATAATTTAGCAAAGACAAAAGGTGAAAGAAAATGAAAGGCATGAGAAATAAAAGAAGGGAAGGATGCAAAAAGACAGATAGAGGAATAAAAGATATCATCTTATGAAACACCTTGTATTGAGAACAGATTACAACCGATGACCTGTTTACAAATTGGGCTGTTTATTAAATGGATTGTAAAGGTTGTCGAAAGATTTAAACAATTAAATATAAATTAGCAAAATAGAATAAATAAAATGGAATTAATAATTTTATTCGTTAAGCTGTCTCATAGTATCATCCGTATTCGGCCTAACTGATCTGATAGTTCCATCCGAATTCATAGTTTTACTCCGCACCTGACACGAGAAAAACGTGCTAAAATCCGTCTAACAAATATATTGCAGCTTTCGAGCATTGATGAAGAACATTTTGCCTCTGTAAAGCATGCCTTTGACAATCCACGCTGCATTGGTAAAAAAAATCGTTAAGATTTTAGGCCGCGAATTAGTCCTATTCGAAGTATTTGGTGCAGTCTATGTGAACTATTAATTAAATTCCTAAAATCTTTCATTTAGTTGAAATCATCCTAAATAATTCAAAAAAGTGTATAAAACTACAGTTTATTTATACAGAACGCGAACAAACCGGTCACTTTAGTAATTAATCAGTACCGGCATTTTCTGTCCTCTCTCAGGGCCTTCTTCAGTAAAGGCAGGGTTGATTTCTGCAAGTCTTTCAGCAGCTATCGCAATGTTTGAAGCAAAATTGGTGTTTTTGGTGAACTGTGCTGATAAACAGTGTTTTCGGACACAGGTCTGCTCAATTCACACAGCGGACCACAAAACGAACTGCGGAAATCAATTCTGTCAACTCTAATGAAGGCCCGTGAGAGCCGGTAAGATGGTACTAGTTAATTACCTGATTGACCAGTTTGCTTACGCTGTGCATAAATAGTTTTTATACATTTTTCAGCATGATCATTAAAGCATCAATGAAATACTTAGTCCTATAATTCAGTTTATATTACATAATTACTAATTTTCATTTTTTCCTTTCACATCAACTTTTTTTCATCCTTTACTTCATTTATTTCTTATTCCCTTCATTTTCTTTCATCACTTTTGCTTGATTATTTTATATTTATTCGCTATAATATTTTAATTATTTGCCGATATCTTGTCTGTACACTATTATTTGTCAAAAATTAACATCACTGTGGGTTCCAAATGCTTAAAGTAATAGCATATTTTTTCGGGTTACCAACAGACTTCATCGTTTTCTTTTATCATCACGAATCCGTTTATGCCCCTTTTTGAGCAGGTGTAAAAATTAAGAAAGTGCAAAAAACCAAAAACGTTAACCGGTTAGCTACTGAAGTTGTTTTAAAACAATACATCCTTTAAGCAGAGTTGTATGTGAATTGAACAGAAGTATTATAAACAGAAATATTACCTACTGTCGCTGCAACAATCAGATTTTGACCGACGTTTTCTTAATATCAAAAATTTTGGCATCATGTTATAATCTGTCAAATTCCACTACGGCGTTCAATATGGTTTCCGGT